AGTTTGCGTCCTATCCTATACTACTTCTTACATTAGGTGTGTCACCTTTTCTGTTCTATATGCTCATGTAGAATGGAAATGCATGTTAGTTGCATTTTGAAATTTGGGTTTAGTAATAGTAACTTAGGGTTAGTATTCAAAAGTTAAGTCTGGTTTAACATTGGACGTAAAAAAAATAGCATTTATTATGACATCAAATGAAACAGAATAAAATGTGATGTTGAATGGAATGATATTCATATGATGTTGTCTATCTATTTTGTTTCGTTCTATTTGGGTTTAGGGTCTATATTTGGGTTTAGGGTTTAGTGGTTAGGATTTAGGGTTTAGTATTTAGAAGGGAGGGGGTTGAGGTTTGGGTTTAGTCACCCTATCATGTATTGTTCCTTTTGATGATTAATAACGAGTGTTTAAATTTGTTCACCAATATGTAATATTCTATCTATTTCGTTTCATTATATTTGGGTTTATGATTTATACGTGGGGTTAGGGTTTAGTGATTATGATTTAGGGTTTAGTATTTGGAAGGTTGGGCTTGAGGTTTGAGATTAATGACCATATCATATATCGTTTCATTTAATGATTAATAATGAATGTTCTGTTTTACTCATCAATAGGTACTATTCTATGTATTGTCTTCCATTCTATTTGGGTTTAGGGTCTATATTTAGGTATAGGGTTTAGAGATTAGGATTTAGGGTTTAGTATTTGGAAAGACGGGGGGTTGAGGTTTGGGTTTAGTAATAGTAGCTTAGGGTTTAGTATTCAAAAGTATTGAATGACTCGAGTTGATATTAGATTATGCTTTATATTTCCGTGTATGGTTTAGTGATTTGGTGATAGAGTTAAACTATGTACGTTTGAGGTTTACTATTTAGGAATTAGAGTAATATTTAGTATTCAGAGGATGTGGGTAGAATTATAACTATATACTATTTCGTCCATATGGAATAGAACACTGACAATGTTAGCTGCTTTTTAGATTGCAACTACGTTCACAATGTTTTCATGCTATCTACTGGACATGGAATGAAAATAAATATTTTCTTATCTCGGTTATGTATTGTACAGTTTACTTTCATTTGATATATCTTAACCCTTAATACTAGTATACTAGTATTTTACATTTTCAGATTTTTGATAATTGGATTTGAGTTCATAATTCCATGATTGAGTTTATATTTAGTTGATAAAGTTTAGTTTAGTGACGCCGGAGGTTGTCATTTGAAAATCATTGAATACTTACAATACATATATTTTGGTATGTAATATGTGAACTATGCTATTTATCTATATGGAATAGCAATTTTATTAAAGTCAAATATCTATTACGTTCATATATATTCTATTACACAAATAAATATTATTCATTAATATCGATGGATACTCTTTCAGCATATGTGTTAAACACAGCTGATGTACGCTTTCCCTTTCAGAACAGTTCTTTGATTGTTAATAAGCCACAAGAAATAACCACGTCATTTACTTTAGACAATGCAACTGAAAACTTGTTGTTGAAAGGGGTATAATCAGCTAGACTGAGTGCAAAAAGTCTGACATCTAATTATGTCAACATCATAGCTACTCATTTAATTTAACATTCATATATGGCTATCTAGCCAATAACCCCTATTTAAAATAGGGAGACAGGGTATCACACTGTCACTCACATGTCTGGCCTATGCATATATTAATATAATTTACAGCTCATCTCATGGTCTTTCTTTATCGAAACCAAAGTCTTCCCTATATGAAAAGTCACTTACTTTTGTTTTCATGCAGTAATTAGCTTCCACATGTATTCAATATCTAACCTGACGAGCTGTCTAACACTGAACCAGAGTCCTTTCGCAAAAGGTTTTCGTAATCTCATAGAAAATTATAATAAAATATCACAAAGATATACTCCCAAAAATATCATTTATTAAACAAAAAAAATACAAAACAATCATAACCAAAATTTTAACCCTAACCCACACCCCTTAAAACTAAACTCTAATAACTGAATCCTAAATTTAAATATAATATATATTTTTATAATCTATCATTTACATATTTTAAAAATAAAATATATGCAATTAATTGATTACTTATATATATATATATCTATATATATATATATATATATATGTGTGTGTGTGTGTCTATTTAACGTTTCATCTTATCTTATATATTAAAACAGAAGTCATGACTTGACTTCATGTGTGATTTTTTAAAAAATGGAATACTACTAGAAAGTCATGTTACATTAACTCTTTAATAATATTATCATTATTATATCTTATGAAAAATCATATCTATAATAACAAAGATACCCTTAATAATTTGATTTTGGTAAATTACCCCACACTTTCCAGTTTAGTCAGACATAATATGTCAATATATATATATAAGTTTATGAATCTTCTATTATTTATAAGGAAATATGTCAATAATAGTTAAATGCATCAACAATATATTAACAAAAATCACAGATTCGTAATATGAAAATTTATATACCTTAACAAAATTTACACGCTATATATACTAGATAAATTTATTTCGATGTAAATTTTTAAAATTATATTGTTTAAAAAAAAGAAATTGTTTAAAAAGTTCTTTTTTAATAAAATTCTTTATAATATTAATTTATGAAGCTACAAGTTTATATTATCTTTTGCAAATTAAAATATACTAATATTTAATCAAGCCTATTTATATTACTTTATCTAAAAATGAAATACCAATCTAACAAATAATAAATTATAGAAGCAGAAACCAACACATGTTTGAAAACATGTATAATATAAAAAATTTGAAACAATCTATTTGACTAAAACATGTATTATATAATATTATTATGTTTGAAAAACATTTACTATACATATCGTAAATATGTGATTACTATAATATATACCAATTTACAAGTGAAAAAAATGTTTATATAACTAACTATAAACGGAAACAAACACCCGCGCGGTTGCGCGGGTAAAAATCTAGTTTAGTTTTTAAAATTAATGCACACACATTAAAAAATATTATTTTCTAAAATTTATATTGGTTACATAAAATATCACTAAATAAAAGTAATTCAACCAATAAAAGATTAGTTACATATAACAATTACAACTCTTTACGTTTCATTTTATTTGGTTTTTTAAAATAATGCACAAACATTAAAAAAATTTATTTTCTAAAATTTATTTGTATTGATTACATATATATATCATTAACTAAAAGTAATTCAACCAATAAAAAATTAATTATTATGTAATTAATCACAAATGTCAAATCATATTATTACTTTCATCTATAATAGTTGAAACGTCACTTAATTTGAAACAGAAAAAAGTTTCCATAAACATTAAACAAAAAAAATTGAAACAGAGAGATACAAAAACAAGCAAGACCACTAATGGCATTAATGACGAAACAAATGACTGTGGCTGATTATACTCCCCTTATCGAAAAGGTGCGTTCCCGGATCAGCTTCTGGAACACTAGAATTTTATTCTTTGCAGGCAGGGTGCAATTGATTGGCTCTGTAATTCACAGTCTAACAAATTTCTGGATTTCCGCTTTTCGCTTGTCAAAGAAGTGTATTCAGGAAATAGATCGATTTTGTGCTGCGTTTCTTTGGTCCGGTCCTGAGCTAAATGCAAAGAAGGCAAAAGTAGTTTGGAAGGATTGTTGCATGTCGAGGGATGAGGGGGGTTTGGGACTGAAATCCATCGCGGAAGCTAACAAAGTCGCTAGTTTAAAACTCATATGGAGGCTACTCTCTTCTCCATCTTCATTGTGGGTTCGCTGGGTAAAAAATTACCTGATCAGGAAGGGGACTATTTGGTCGGTTAAAGAGAATAGCACACGGGGTTCTTGGATATGGAAGAAACTTTTAAAGTATCGTGATACTGGAAAAGGTTTTACCAAATCTGAGATTCAGAATGGCGAAACAACTTCTTTCTGGTTTTACGTATGGACACCATATGGAAGACTGATTGATATTACAGGCAGTACAGGCTGCATTGATATTGGAATAAGAGTGGACGCAACTGTAGATATAGTGATCAAAACACATCGACGAAGAAGACACATAGTAACTATTTTGAATGATATTGAGAACTAGATCCAGAGAATAAAAGAGAGAGGACTGACGGAGAAGGATGATGTTAAGTTGTGGAGAAAAGGAGACAAGTATAAAACGATTTTCAGTTCCAAGGAAACCTGGAAACAATCAAGAGTACCTCAACCAAAAGTGAATTGGAGCTCTGGGATCTGGTTCACTTTTAACACTCCTAAATATGCATTCATGGCTTGGCTTGCAATCCTTAATAAACTTGCAACAGGAGACAGAATTCAGAAGTGGAGCACTCAACACCCCAGCTCTTGCGTGCTTTGTACCGACCCATCGGAGTCAAGGAATCATCTTTTCTTTATTTGCAGATTTTCAGAGGAGGTGTGGAAAAACTTAACACAAAATTTGCTAGCTGATCAATATACTAATCAGTGGGAACAAATCCTGCAACTCCTACTGGATCAAAACCAAGACAAGACTGAAACATTCCTTGTGAGATATGTGTTTCAAGCCACTTTGTATGCGATCTGGAGGGAAATAAACCAAAGAAAGCATGGAGAAAGACCTACGTCACCAGGACGGTTGATCCAACTGGTGGACAAAAATATTCGAAATCGGCTATCTTCCATCGATGACCGAGTGTACACGGGAAGTCTTGCCATCTGGTTTGCCACATGATAGGTTTTTGACTACTAGTTTGTTTTTTCTGAAAAAATTAAAATCAATGTAACACAAAGTGTAAAAGATATTTTTTTGGTTGAATTAATTTAACATTCTTTCAAAAAAAAAAAAGCAAGAAACCGAAAGACCAGAAAAGAAACTTCAAATGGAACCGTTTAAACCAAATACTTAGAGTGGGTCCGGTTAAGGAAACCAAACCGAAAATCTCGAAGCCACAAATATTTCATATTTGTTTTATCTCCGTTTCGACAGTTGACCTGAAGTTGCCAGGGAGACGCAGAGGAGTTGCTTTTTCTCCTGGGAAACATGTAAGTTTCTGTAGAAAAAAATTACACCTTTCTTGATGATTATTTCTCCGATCTATCACTGATTTGGTTATGTAATCGCTTCGATCTACAGGAATCTTGAAAAAATCCATTACTGTTTTAAACACATTTTTTCTCTCTTGATTTTGCTTCTTTTATTTTTGTTTTCATAGCTTGACTTGACAAAGAAAGACATAGTAGTTTGCATTTAGACAGATCTTTAGAGAGAAGTAAGAGTCTGTAAAGTTTCAGATATCAGTTCTTGAATTTATTTATTTTCTTGAAATGGTGATTGACTTGTTGGTTTCTTTTTGGTTGTTTCTCTGTTTGATATAGCTTGAAAACTAAGTTCTCATGGCTTCTTCTGAGGAGCCCTCGAACCAGAAGACAGAGATGTTACCACCGAGGCCAAAAGATGATCCAACGCCAGCCATCAGAGACATCCTCGAAATCGTGGACACTTTGCATCAGAAGTTTGTCCCTCCATCCCAAAAGGATGAAGTTCTAACAAAGTCTAGAAGCATGGTTGCTAATCTCACCAACCCCTCACAAGCCCCTGATCAGAATGTGAGTCTGAGGACTACAACCAGTCTCCCTGTAACTTCTTCAACCGAGCAGGATGACACCGAGCGTTATATTCCAAAGCTGAGACGTAACCTACGTTTGCTCAAGGAGGACGTGGTGAAGCTGCAAGATCTTCGCTGTGAAGTTGCAGATGAGGTCGGGAAACACATTACTCCACTTGAAAAGCTGCTTAAGAAAGTGGAAAAGGATTCCTCCAAATCTGTGTTGACCAAGGGTATGAAGAAAGATCTCGAGGATATCAACAAGAAGATCTTTAACTTGATGTGTCAGGTCCCTTTGTTGCCCAACAAACGCAGAAAGCCTGGTGGGTTAGACGATGAGGGTGGCGATGGAGAGAACAATGGTAAAGGTATTGAATGCTTGCCTGGTATCCATGCAAATGAGGAATATCTCAAAAGACTGGCGGTTTACAGAGATGTAGAAAGCAAGTTCAAGAATCTTAGTGTTGACCGCAAGATCTGTCTGCTGAGCTTTGCTGTATTCCCTGAGAATCAAGAGGTGAACAGAACGATGCTGATGTATTGGTGGATGGGGGAAGGCATCCTGGTTGATGAAGGCAGACCTGAAGACGTTGTGAAGGCCATTCTTGACGAGTTCGTTGCGGCAAGGTTGATTGAACCTGTTGAAAATAAACGCAAAGTGAAGCCAAATAGCTACAAGATGACCCCCTTTGTGCATTCTTCACTGATTCTCATCTCAAAGGAGATCAAACTCTTTGATATTTATCGTAAAGGGGAGAAGCCAACCATGCACAAATCAGACCTGAACAAGGTCTGTCTTGTGGAAGGGTCATCAAGCCAAAAAGAAGCAAAAGCTACAAGAATGCCAGATGTGAATCGCATCGAAACAGTTTTCAATGTCTCAGAGAGGTTTCCTGATTTCGCTTTCAAGTGGTTCTCTGAGGATCAACCAAAAGCGAAGAAGAAGTTTGGTCCTATGTCAAAACCTGTGTTTAAGTTGCTCAAAGTGTTTTATCTAGGTAGATGGGAGAGAACCGCCACGCGACACATTGAGGTTGAGAATCCAGAGCTCATGAGACACTTGAAGCATATGACTAAACTAAGACTTCTGAGTTTTCAAGGAATCTCAAGAATCGAAAGGCTTGACGACGCTGTATGCAAGCTCCGTGAGCTGATCATCTTGGACCTTAGAGCTTGCTATAACTTGGAGAAACTTCCGGAGAAGATCGATTCACTCAAGTCTCTGACTTACTTGGACATTACAGATTGCTACATGATAGATCGCATGCCCAAGAGGTTGTCGTGGCTGAATAACTTGGTGGTTCTCAAGGGCTTTGTTGTGAGTGATGCTAATGATGAGGAGAAGGTCTGCACGTTGGCGGAGTTGGTACACTTGGAGAAGCTGAGGAAGCTAAGCATTACAATAAACAAAGGTGATTTCAGTGTAAATGATCTGTTCCTGGCTGTTGAGGAGTTCAAAAGCCTTGAGAAGTTTAAAGTGGCATGGGGAGGTATTAATGAACATAAGAAAGTGGAAACTACTGGTGGGATTGTAAAAGAGTTCTTAAGAACGATGACAATCATTCCCAAAGGCCAAGAAGGAAAGCTTCCCAAGGTTTCAAAGCAGATTCAGCTTCCTAAGATGCTGAAGAAACTGGACCTGCAGTGTTTTCCTGATCCGGTTCTTCCACTATGGCTTAAGCCACATAAACTTGGTGGTCTGGAAAAACTCTACATTAAAGGAGGAACTGAACTTACTGGATTTGGAGAGTTAGTCTCTGCTGAGACAAATGAGTGCAAAGTCACGGTCTTACGTCTGAAATTTCTTCCCAGGTTTAAAGTGGAGTGGAGGGAGCTGAGGGAACTTTTTCCAAACCTGGAGTTCTTGGACAAGTATCAGTCTCCTCAAGTTAGCTTCTGCCCCTGCGATGGAATTGGAATCTGGCGCAAAAAACCTGAAGTCTAAGCATCTCTAAACTAAGAGTTCTCAGCTGTCCCAAGCCTTCTTCTGATATTGTGTAATGTTCCTTTAGTTCTTATTGTTGTTGTGTGTATTTGCTTCTCATTTCGTATTTGATGTATTCTGTTTTGCTTTCAAGTGTTGTTGTTTGTGAACTGTTGAATAAAGGAGTTTGGTATGTTTAGTTTGTTTTTTCTGTGATGCTTGCTACTCCAAATAAGCTATGAAGAGTATAAAAATGTATTATGATACACTGATTCATTTTGTTTTATATTCCAATTGATAAATTAGAAAACAAATTACGTGTTTCCCACCAGTATTTATTCTAGAATCCTTTTATGTTGTTGATGTTATTCTATTGCACCTAGCCGCTAAGTCGTTTAGTCTATCCGGCTGTCCCCAAGCAAAAGTCATTGAGATAATCTAATTTACTGTATCGAATTCCGACATTGCGTTGCAATTTTTTAATCAAAGCACTGAAATTACTGAACTTTAAAAGCTTATTAAACTCTTGAGTCTTTGTTTATTCTATATCTTGTCTCATTTGCAATTTGACTGATGTTCCAGGTGAGACCCAGTCTCATTTTTTCAACGAGAGGGAAACAGCAAACAGGTAAGAAACAAAAAACAACTTTTCTTTGACAAATGTGTGATTTTTGAATCGTTTGTGAGAACTGTAAAAGCTTTATAGGTAGGGAAAACATTAAACATTTCTTACCGATTACCATAAGTATTACTGATTTGGTTTTTGCAGTATTGGGTTTAGGATTTTCATGGCTTCCAAGGAGTTATCACCACAGGTGCCAAAGCCAAAAGATGATCCAAAGACTACAATCCAGGAGATCCTCAAGATCGTGGACCAACTGCATACAAAGCTTCTTCCATCTCAGACGCAAGATATAATAACGACGTCTAGGAGCACTGGTGGAGGAGTCCATAAGCAAACATGCTCACAGACCAATAACAAAAAGAAGAGACTTGAGTCAGTGTCAAGTTCACCTGCTGTTTTAGTTGGCCTAAAAGATTCTGAGGATGTGGTTCCCAAGCTGCAACGTAATCTACGTATGTTGAACACTGATGTGATTAAGCTACAAGAACTTAACCAAGACGTTGGATATGAGGTGAGGAAACATTTTACTCCACTTAACAATCTGCTAAAAAAAGTGGAGTCCTCAAAACCTGAGTTGACCAAAGGTATGAAGAAAGATTTGGAGGATATCAACATGAAGATGTTTAACTTGATGAAGAAAGTCCCCATGTTGCCCAACAAGGGTAAGAAACCCAAAGGAATAGATTCTCATGCTGGCGAGGAGGACAACTACGGGAAATGCATTGCTTACTTGCCCGGCCTTCATGCAAACCAAGAAGCTTTCAAAAGACTCGCCGTGTTCAGAGATGTACAAAACAAGTTCAAGGAGCTTAGTACTGACCGCAAGATCTGCCTGCTGAGCTTAGCCGTGTTCCCGGAGAATCAAAAGGTGAATAGAACGATGCTTATGTACTGGTGGATAGGGGAAGGCATTATTCCTTATAGAGGCACTCAGCGAGATAAAGAGAAACCTGAAAATGTTGTGAAGGAGATTCTTAAAGATTTCACGGATAGAAACTTGATTGAACCTGTTGAAAACAGACGCAAGGTGGAGCCAAATAGCTATATGATGAACCCTTTTGTGCATTCTTCTGTGGTTGTTATCTCCAGGGAGATAGGTCTTTTTGATATGTATCATAAAGGGAAGAAGCCAAGGATGAGAAAATCAGAGTTAAAAAAGGTTTGCCTTGTGGAAGGGTCATCAAGCCAACCCGAAGCAAAAACTAAGAAGATGCCAGCAGAGGACATAGAGACAGTGTTCAATGTTTCCGAGAGGTTCCCGGATTTCACATTGAAATGGTTCTCAGAGGAGCAATCACAAAAGAAGAATATTCTGGCAAAAACTAGTTTCAATGCTCTCAAGGTTTTCTATATGGGGAGATGGGAAAGAACTCCATACCGCCACATTGACGCAGAGAGTCCAGAGTTTATGAAATACGTGAAGCATATGAGTAAACTCAGGCTCTTGAGCTTTCAAGGAATCTCAAGAATTGAAAAACTTGACAATGGTGTTTGTGAGCTTAGTGAACTGGTCATCTTGGACCTCAGAGCATGTTATAGCCTCGAGAGACTTCCGGAAAACATAGATTCGCTCAAGGCGCTGGTCTACTTGGACATATCAGAGTGCTACATGATAGGTCGCATGCCTAAGAGGTTGTCGTGGCTGGATAACTTGGAGGTTCTCAAAGGTTTTGTTGTTAGTGATGTTATTGTTGAGGAGAAGGTCTGCACTCTGGCTGAGTTGGTGCACTTGAGGAAGCTGAGAAAGCTAAGCATTACAATAAACAAAGAGGATTTTGGTGTTGTTCAACTCTTCGAGGCTATTAAGGATTTTCTAGAGCTGGAAAATCTGAAAGTGGCGTGGGGACTAATAAATGAACAAAAAAATGATGGCGAGGGAGTAAGAAAGTTCTTAAGAACAACATCATATTTTCCTAAGAGTCAAGCTAGGCCATTGCCACTACCAGAGCTTCCCAAGAAACTGAAGAAACTGGATCTGCAGTGTTTTCCTGATCCGGATCTTCCTACATGGCTAAAGCCTCAAAACCTTGATGTTCTGGAGAAACTCTACATTCAAGGAGCAACGAAGCTGACTGGATTTGGAAAGTTACTACCTGAAAATCCCACTAAATGCAATGTCAAGGTTCTACGTCTGAAGTATCTTCCCAGGCTTGTAGTGGATTGGATAGAACTGAGAAACCTCTACTTTCCCAAACTTGAGTTCTTGGAGAAGTATCAATGCCCACAAGTTAGTTTCTGCCCCACAGATGGAATCGGTATCTGGCACAAGCCTTGATAAAAAAAAAAAAGATCACGTCCAAGCTTGTAATCTCCAAACAGTAACATTAGTTTTGTCCCAAGTGTCATTTGATCTTGTGAATTCCATGCTTTGACTTTAGTGTTTTTCTAGTTGAGCTATCGACACTTTTTTGGAAATGAGTTCCGCAAAATGCCATCAAGCTTTTTTCCCCATTGTCTATCAGTTTCTCAAATGTTTCAAGCGTTTGAGTAAATGAGTTCGGAGTGTTTTCTTTGCTTTTCTTGTGATGCTTCTTGGTTAGCTACTTATAAGATGGTGCTCAGAAGACAGTCACCAGTTCCATAAAAGTTATCAAGGAAAATAATTGTTTTACGATTAGCTGACCAGTTTAGCACTGTAAGCTAAGAAAAGGTAAAGGAACTATCTTATATAGTTTCTCCAAGAAACATAGTTGCATTGAAGAGAATCTCTATGTACATGTTGGAGAAAATTCTACATTTTGAGACAGCAAGAGATGGAGTCAGCTAGAGATAACTTTTTGAAGCGCATTATAGCAGAGCAGAGCTAAGCTTTGAACCTAGTGGCCTTTTCTTTCAACTAGCTTTTTGAATTAGTCTTCCACAATATAATATAAAACGTAACCACAGACAAGAACTATCGAAAACTGTAAACTATTAAGACAAAAAAGACTTGAGAGCCCCAAGAGAAGAAAAAAAAATAACAGAAGAAAAGCCCCATAGCGAGCCAACAAGAAGTCTACTCTCTTTACATACTTGTGTGTTGCTGGAATACTACTATACTAGTAATGGCCAGTGCGATCCCAAAGCCAGTAAAGGAGCTGTGGGAGGCATGTAGCATTCGTGCTACCTTGATATTCAGTCTCAACCTGCAAACATTTCTCACTTTCTCTGCACCCCAAAGGAAACGCACATCCAAAAAGGTTTTACTCTTTCTCATTTGGTCAGCTTATCTTCTAGCCGACTGGGCAGCCACTTTCGCCGTTGGACAAATCGCTGATAGCCATGGAGAAGATCCAAAGCCCGGAGAACCAGCCAAGAACAAAGAGCTCTTAGCTTTCTGGGTCCCCTTCTTGCTCTTGCATCTCGGTGGTCCAGATACAATCACAGCTCTTGCCCTTGAAGATAATGAGTTATGGCTCAGACATCTGTTGGGTCTCGCCTTTCAAACAATCGCAACTGTATATGTGTTTTTGCAGTCGTTACCAAACTCTCTCTGGATACCCATCTTGCTGGTGTTTGCAACCGGTGTGATCAAGTATATAGAGAGGACATTAGCCTTGTACATTGCAAGTCTTGACAAGTTCAAGGATTCCTTGATCCAGAAGCCTGATCCTGGACCCAACTACGCGAAGCTCATGGAAGAATACGTGGCTAAAAAACACATGAAGATGCCTACACAGATCATCACTATTGAAGAGACTGAGAAATATAAAAAATCTGGTGTTGAGGTTAGGCCTAAAGTCCTCACTCATCTCAAGATTCTCCAGTACGCTTATCAGTACTTCAATATCTTCAAAGGTCTTGTGGTTAATCTCATCTTTACCTCTCAACAACGGGATGAGAGCAAGAGGTTCTTTACCTCGCTGAAAGCAGAAGAAGCTCTAGAAATCTTGGAAGTTGAGCTCAACTTCATCTATGAAGCTCTATTCACAAAAGCTGAGATTCTGCATAATCTTTTAGGTCTCAGCTTCAGGTTTATTACCCTTGGATGCCTTATAGCATCCCTCTTCATCTTCCAATACAAGAACAAGGACCAGTATGATGGATTTGATGTTGGCCTTACTTATGCATTGTTGATAGGTGGAATAGCTCTGGATACCATCTCTTTCCTCATGTTCTGTGTATCTGACTGGAATTTTGTCAGATTGAGAAAGATGGAGGACGATCTACAAGTTGCCGACAACTGGTTCAAGAAGATTCTAAACCGGATCCTCTGTTTTATGGAATACAAATGGTCCAAGAAGGGTGAAGAGTTTGTATATAAGCATAGAGTGCTCAACACTTCTTTTATGGCACGCAGATGGTCTGAGAACGTACATGCACACAACCTGATTGAATATTGTCTAGGGATAAGCCAGAAGCGCCATAACCCTTTTGATTGGCTTGTAAGGAAAATAAGATTCTGCAAGAGACAAGTAGAATATGGATGGTCAACTAGAATTTATCCTTGGATAAGACGGTGGTTGGCGATGCATAGGGTGAGAGAAGAGCATTTTAGGCGGTGCATGTATTGCATATTGTTCATTCCTTGTCTTCCTGGACGTCTGATAAAAAAAATTATAGACTTATTAGGCATCCAAGCTCAGCTAGAGGAGATGGCATTCACATCCAGTGATCGCCTCTCACTGGATCTGTGGGAGCACATATTCACAGAGGTGAAAAACAAATCTCACTTTGCTGGAGACTCAGAAAGTGCCATGAGGGTATCTTCGGCTAGAGGTGACTGGACTCTTCAAAATGTACAAGGAGAAGAAGGAGAAAAAACACGTGAGAAACTGCTACGGTATGTAAAGGCAATGGATTTTGATCAGAGCCTTCTTGTGTGGCATATTGCCACTGAACTCTTATACCAAACGGAACAAGTCACTGAAGATAACCATAGTTACCGTGAGTTCAGTAAAACCCTTTCGGATTATATGGTCTACCTCATAATGATGCAACCCATCCTGATGTCAGCTGTTTTGGGTATCGGAAAGATAAGGTTCAGGGACACGTGTGCAGAAGCCAACAGGGTTTTTTTTGGAGAAGGGAGATCGAATAAGTCTTATCAAGGATACTCAGACGCAAAGTCAGCTAGCTGGATACTTTTATCTGTGGCAGTTCCAGCAAATGCTGAACCTATCGACGTGAAAGGTGATCGAAGTAAGTCTGTGCTGTTTGACGGTACCAAGCTGGCAAAAGAGCTTAAGGGTTTAGTAAAGGGAGAAACAGGCGAGACAACATACATGTGGGAAGTAGTGAGCAAAGTGTGGGTTGAATTGCTTTCTTATGCAGCAACTAAGTGTGGCGCTGTTGAACACGCAGCTCAGCTAAGCAAAGGTGGAGAGCTCATCAGCTTTGTCTGGCTATTGATGGCTCATTTGGGACTAGGGGACCAATTCCAGATCAACCAAGGAGATTCCAGAGCCAAAATGATTATAGGCAAATGATCATAACAAAGCAACTTATGCTAGGAACTACTGCAGCTATCATAGATCATACCAGCAATTATCTGTTCTTAAACTATCTGCATTGTAACTTATGTTCCTTTTTTTTAACATTATGTTGTGTATGCAACCATTTTGTGTGCTATAATGGTATTGGTTCTAAAGAGCCAAAAGAGTACGTTTTAAATAGGCTTTATTACGAAAAAAATTGGTCCAAAGTCGAGAGCTATACTGTATTACGAAATAAAAAAAAGAAGAAACCTTCACACAAAATGTTCGAGCCGTGACCGAAACATTAAAGGCAGTACAGAAAAGATAAGCTCCATGGACAAGCAAAAGAGGTTTTTCTTTTTCAAAAGGATATTAAACAGTCTTCAAATGACTTTGGACTCTGGGGTAGTAGACGATGATGATAATCAAAAGCAAAACGATGACTCAGAAGATTAACTTATGAGTCATAAGAAAGAGCCCTTCGGCTTTAACCAGCGATTCTTCTAGAGTAGGGATTGGGAGGCTGTGTAGGTCTGAGGAAGATGTCACCACTTTTTCCCATCCACTCTGCCTTCGTCGCTGGCTGTTGCATCTGCCTTTCACTTTGACTCCATCTTCCTCCTCCGCCCACGGCTGCATTTGTCTCACGAGGAAAGACCCAATTCTTGTTCATAGTTGCTGCAAATGCGCATCATTCCTTCAGTTTGAGTAATCAAACTATGCGGACAAAAGAACAAAAGTTCGAGATTTTTACTTACAAGGACTCTTCCTTCCAGGCGGTGGTATATACTTAGCATCTCTGACATGATAACTTCCAACAGCTTTGTTGTTCCATGTTGTGTCTTGGTTAATCTTATTAGACATCTCCAACTTCCGCTGGGTCTGACAAGCACCAAATGTAGGAGCATTCGCCTTTGAAGTAGCATAACTGTTGAATGGCTTATTATTAGCAGTACTGGTCAAAGTCGCCTGCAACCTCTTGACGGATTGCTGCTGCTGCTCGAGATGCCCTCTATGTCCAACAGACGGTTTGGCACGGAGAGATGGTGGAACATAGTAGCAACTCTGGAAGAACGGATGCTGCAAAGCCTCTGCAGCCGTCGGCCTATTGCTGGGGTCCCACGAGCAGAGGCGCTTAACAAGGTTAACCGCCTCTGCACTAGCATACGGCATCAAACTTGAAATGGGTACACCGGGAAGCTGCAAGATAACAAAACAAATCATTACTAGTATCGAAAGATAAGAAAATCTGTGACGCTCTTTTTCACCAGAAATACTGAAGATTTCAGCGAGCTTTTTACCTGAGGGAATTGGTAGTTGATAACGCTAGCAAGATTAAGTCCCTCTAACCATGTCTGTTCAGTTGGGCTGCCTATCACACTGCATATTTTATATATCTCATCTGCTTCACTGCATACATAAAAAGGACATCTTGGTAGCTAACATCACATCCGCAACATTGTTTATTCAGTAGGAAAACTGTAATGACAAATACCTAGCTCCAGGAAAAAGAGGGCGGAGAGACAACAGCTCAGCCAGAATGGCACCCATTGCCCACATATCTGGAACACAAAAATATAACCATTGTTAAGAAATGGACCAATACCATATGGAGAGACGACTTCTTTTCTTGTATATTGGGTTCACTAACCAACTTTTGATGTGTATATATATGACCGTAGCAGTACTTCAGGTGCCCTGTACCTGTTAGAAACAGACTTTCTCATATGTAGCATTGAACCACAGATACAAACAGATTCCAACAGAGCAGGGAAGTGAATCTTACCAGCGTGTAGAGACATACTCTGTATAAGGTGGACTTGAGTTAATCTCCCGAGCCAGGCCAAGATCAGCAATCTTAATAACACTTTTAGAGACTAACAGATTTTCTGCATCAGAAAAATACACATGTTTCATTGACAACATACTGAACTACGACTTAGGTAGAACAACTTGGAAACTGTGATTTTAAAAAGTCGAACTATGACACATGTGCTGGTGTTTATTGGTAACTCAAGGCTATCAATTACCTGGCTTAAGATCGCGGTGGAAGTATCCACGCTGATGCATGTATGAAAGGCCTTGAAAGACTTGAAAGCACCAATTACGGATATCAGATTCTGTAAATAGCTTAGGGCGATCCTTCATAAGCTGGTAAAGATTGCACTCCTGATGGAGTAAGAACGGAAAAAATGTTTAGGGAAATAGAGAATAAAAAGCTATGGCAAACAGATTAAACAAAAGTAGCAGAAGCATACCATGTACTCGAAAACAAAGTATAGAATATTATTTTCCAGGATGACTTCCTTCAGCTTCACAATGTTTGGGTGGTTCATTCTGCTAAGCGACTACCATGAGAAAAGAGAGGAATCAGCAAACATACAAGAAGAAAGACTGACAACATTTTTGGAGAAGGATAAACAATACCTTCACTTCTCTCAGATTAATACATTCTTCCCAAGAGTAATGATTTTTCTTCATCTTCTTAATCGCAACCTGACCAAATAAAACTTCAGTACCATAAAAAGCAACTACAAATAGTATAGAACCATTGATATCTTTGGGTAAGAACTTACAACTTCACCCGTCTGTTTATTGACAGCTCGCCAAACATTCCCAAAAGTTCCATCACCAACTTCTTTGATTAAATTATACCTATGGTTGCATAAGGCATCACAAAGCAAACAGGGTTTATATAAACCAAGATCTGCAGACAAAGATGAGAGAAAAACTTGCGAGAACTCAAACCTACCTATCCATCTCCTCTAGAGTAAAGTAAAGTATCGCCTTTGGTTTTTGTCTCTAGAGAACTGAAAAATTTCTGAAATTCAATCTTCCACTTGTTTGTATGCCAGCAAAACTCAAAGATTCTCAGGCTAGGTAGGCTGACCGTTATTTACATTGAAAGTCAATTGGTTGACCATCAAGGGAAAAGAAAGAAACCAAGAGAAGAAGACAAAACATATTAAGAACTGGTGAAGACTCAGTGAACCAACAAGTAGGAAGGATGTGGGTAAGAAATCCACGCTCACAACACTTCACTCAAGGGGTTCGGAGACTCAAACAGCAATACTATTAAAGCGAAGACATGTCAAAACTTGAAAAGAAACTGATACATCCTTGTTCAGTCAGCTCCTACAAGAACCAGATATGGAATAGGGACCAACAGGATTTTTTTTTTTTTTACTATAGGGACGAGGTTTAGATGAGAGACTCTAGGTCTATGAGAAGGAAAGATAACTTGCAGACATCAACCCTGCACAAAACAATGTTGCCACCACACAAACAATTATGTTTCAACAAATATGGAAGATCTAGCAGTGATATAAGATGTAAGTTTGGAGTACAATATGACATCCTTTAACTCTATCATATAGTATTCCTTTTTAAGATTTCCTAGATTCTTCATAGAAGCCTTTTTTTCCTTTTCTCAAAATTTCCATATTTTTTTACTAAACTACTAATATTCGAAAAAGTATTTAAAACAGTTTATAAGAATAAAACCATACCTGACTCGCACCTTCCATAAAGATCGGGGAAGAAGGGGCAGAACACTAAGTGCAGTTCACGAAAGAGACAACAAGGAAGTCTGAACGCGCAAGAAACCGCAAATCGAGTGCTTCTTGCAGAGACAAAACGCAAAAGTGGTAGCAGCCAGAGCAGATGTAATCTAGTTCCATATCTCAAAAGAAGCAAATCCACTACAAATGAAAGCTTTAATGTAACCTGATAATGAACACAACAACGGTAAGAGAATCAATATCAGAAGCACAGCAACAACATACATACATGAAACAGAAAGAATAATAATTTAATGAAAAGCAATTCCAATAGAGTCCAGGAAACGTTATAACTAGTAACAAAACCCTAAGAAACCCCAATTTGCAAACCAATGAAGCAAAGAGTCGATCCCACATAATCGTAACCCTATAAAATATTCGGATACGTCAAATTCGAGACAATCAGATCTCAGAAACGCGACGCAAGATCATACAACGATCCGATTGAGCGTAAGAAGGGAACAGAAAGGACAAACTAAAATCGCAATCACGAAGATCTTTGGTTAACCTCAAGGGCCAATAGGCATAAGCTCCTTCACCGACGACGACTGGGAAATGACGTTACTCCTTTAACTCCACCGCTCTCTATCTCCTTGCCGCGTTTTTCTCGTGATAATGATTAATGAACAAAAAGAAACCTACTTTATAATATTTCACCTATAAAGGTATACTAGATCTTGACCCGCGCACCGGCGCGGGTTTAACTTAATTTGAGAAAATGTAATAAATTCAGAACTCATCGATTATTACTGTGTTTAAGATATTGTGATCCACGTTGTATGTGAACTATCATATTGAATAGAATATGACTGGGTTGTGATTTTCGGTTCAGCTTTTATTAGGTTCTTTACGTTCTTAGTTTTTTTAGTTCTAGAAACATAGAAACTGTTTGTTTATCTATATAAATTTATTTGTGTCCGGTTCAATTTTTCGAACCAAAAAATTCGACCCGAAATTCAAACCGAAATAAAAATACCCGGAAATCCGACCCGAATTATTGTTAAAAACGAATATTCTTAAATATTGTTAGTGACTAAAATTAATTATATTTACGATTTTAAATAAATAGCAAATCTTTGTAACAATAAATACCAGATCTTATTAAATATAGATATTTATGTTTCCAAACTTACTTATTTTAAATACTGCTATCCATGTTTCCAAACAAAAGGTTAAAGTACTTCTACTTTAATAAGATAGATATTATTGGTAGTGACCATAATATTATGGTTATCCGTTAAATTTGATTTGATTCGTTATTCATTTCGATTCGATTCGAAAATTCCGGATATTCGTAAACTTTCGAATCAAAACAAATACTAAAAATCAATATCCGTTATAATCAAAACAAATCCCAAATATTAAAAATTTTAGGAAGCGGATATCAGATCCGATCTGAAAATATATAAATATTTGTATATCTTAATTATACTTAAAATTTTAAATATATAAAATTATATAATTATTATTCTATAACATTATTTTGAACAATTCTATTTATATTATTATTTATATAGAAGTATAACATAAAAGAGAGATAACTTATGACAATTATATTATTTTCTTAAATTTTGTGTTACTACAAATGTAACTTAAACTTAAAAAAATTACATAAATTCACTAGCTCTTTTAATTTTTATTTTATATATCATGTAAAAAATATTTTTGCAAAGCAAATTTGTATCAAAATTTTAAGATTATTTGTATTAATCAAAATGGATGAGATATACGTATTTTTTCGAAACAAAGCAAATATCAAAATTAGATATCCGTGACATTCGAAAAAATTTATAAATATCTTGAAAACCCCGGATATCTGATTCGTGCCCACCCCTAATTATGGTCGTGTGTCTTTGTGGGTGCTAGCTCATCTCGACCCCACGTTAACACACTACATTACATTTAAACCGTTGATGGCTTAATTGATGAGGTCATCACTAATCCGCACGGTACGATTTTGATGGACTTCTTTTCCACACCTTTATTTAGGTCTGGGTAAAAAATTCAGAACCGAACCAAAATACCTGAAATCAAAATCGGATCGAAATTCTTAAATATCCGAATGGTTCATATATTTCTATATCCGAAAAATCGAAATGAGAATTGAACGGGTACCTGAATATACGAAAAACAAGTTATTTTTTTAAAAAAATAAGATAAAATGACATCAAACCCACTTAAACTCAGGTTAGATACAAAGAGTAAATACATTTTTACCATAAGACCACGTTATGTTTTATTTATTCTGTTATATTATAAATATATATGATATTTCTATATTAAAATATGATAAATATTTATAAAATTAACAGTTTATTGATTTGAGCTCTTGTTGGATTGAATGATATGTAAGCGTATAAACATTATACCATTTAAATTAACATATTAACTAATATATTCCGTATATATATATATTTGATTTATATATTAAATAGGTATCTATAACCGAACCGAAACAAAACAAAAATCTCATAAGTATCTATTGGGTATAAGAATGATTTATCTGATATATCTAAAACTGAATGGTTCCTATCTGGAACCGAAATCCGAATGCCCATGCCTACCTTTATCCTTTCAGTATTCTATCAGATTTCCATTCCAAGTTGTTTACACGTGATAAGTACTTTCCTTTGACTTCTCTTAACAAGAAGTTTATTTTCTTACAAAAACGAACTATCTCGTCTTGGACTTAAAAGCCCACGAAAGCCCAACATAAAAGCGCTCGACACTAATCGTAAATTTACGATTTACTTCACTTCTTCTACACCGAAACAGTACGGACAAATCAGGAGAGCAAAAGCAATGGAGTTTTACGACGAAGACAAACCAAGATTCGTCTTCCAGTCACGTCCTTCCTCTTCTCGCAAAACGGAAGTCGACGACGACGATCCCAAAACCCCTAACAAGATCTCCATCTCAATCTCCGTCACCATCTCTCTCCTCATCTCATCACTCTCCTTCTTCTACTTCGAATCCGAACCCACCCAATCCCTCCTCCTATGGCTCGCAATCTCCTTCCTCCTCGGCCCCTTCGCCCCCTCTTCTCTCACCGGCGGAAAAATCCGCGTCGGTCACGGTCAGATCCTGGAGCCAGAGCAGATCAACGACGAACAACAACACTCCACTGATAACGAACGCGAATCAAGAAGAAACAAGAGATCTAATAAAGCGATGAAACCGCCGGAGAATCCTTCTCCGGTAGTTGCTAATAAAGTGGATCGAAATGGATCTGTGAAGGAGGAAGAAACTAAGGAGTGGAGTGAAGAGGAGATTGAGATTCTGAAGAAGCAGCTGGTGAAGCATCCGGCGGGGAAGCCTGGGAGGTGGGAAGCGGTGGCGGCGGCGTTTGGAGGGAAGTACAAGACGGAGAATGTGATCAAGAAGGCGAAAGAGGTTGGGGAGAAGAGAGTTTACGAGAGTGACGATTACGCTCAGTTTTTGAAGAATAGGAAAGCTTCTTTGGATCCTAGATTGGCTGAAGAAGAAGAAGAAGATGCTGGAGGTGATGGCGAGGGTTGGAGTAATGGAGAAGACATTGCATTGCTTAATGCTCTTAAGGCTTTTCCGAAGGAGGCAGCTATGAGATGGGAGAAGGTTGCAGCTGCTGTGCCTGGGAAGACGAAGGCGGCTTGTATGAAGAGAGTTACTCAGCTTAAGAAAGGGTTTAGGAGCTCCAAGTCTGGTGCTAATTAGCTAGGGAGAGGACAGTTGAGGTGGTTGAGAGAGTCTTTAGATAAGCAATAGCCGCAAGAGTATCTATCTTTCTCCGTTGTAGTTGTTACATTTTACTGAATAATCTTGTTCTCTCCATTGAATATGAGTTACTTGAAATGCTGATAGCATGTTCTTTTGATGTCTTGGAGGGTTCTTATCAATTAGGTTGCATAAGGTCATAGTTAATTTACTTATCTAGAGTTATGAGTATTTGAGAATTGGGAGAAGTGACTCTAGTGAAACTACTCGTTAGGTCATGACATTTGTATTTTGATGTTAGGAAGGCTTGCTATTTCATCATGTCAAACAAAACCCATTGCTTTTCATGGAAACAGTGTTATTTTCTATGGTGTATTGAGCTCCCTTTTACATCTGCTAGTTGCTGGTCATATTCTATTTGGAGTGTAATGCTAAGGCATACTATGATGGGTTTGGCGAGAGGGAAAAGGGATTGTGAACTTGGCATAAAACTGGTTTAGGTGTTCATAGTTGTTTTCGGTTTATGATTGTCTATTCCTAATAGATTATCATTGGTTCACCTAAAGAACTATATTAAACCTCCAAAATATTCTTCTAGTTACTTGGAATACTCAGCCACCCGTAAGATTAGAACTTTAATGGAAGAAATACTCCCAAATCTCGTGGTTTTCTAAGTCTTATTTGGGTGACATTCTTTTAAAGTTTGCCAGAAACACGAGTATGATATTCTTCTTATTATAAATAACCATGTGATATACATTATTCATCTCAATATCTTTACACAATCTCCTTCTTTCTATCCTTAAAATTTCCGAACTTGAGTCTATTTTATAATCTGTAAGAGTTCAACAAAAATAAATGATTATCCATTAAAAAATTGCCTTATAAAATTTTTCTTTTCAAAAGAAATTTAAACAAAATGGCATGAGATCCACCTACGGACTCACGGTAGTTCGGTTTCTCACGGACTCACGGTAGTTCGGTTTCTCACGGAATACACCCACGAGCTTCATACATAATCAACCACAAAACACTTTAACAACCGGCGATCACTGGTTATTTTGAAAAGGATCGGTTCACGGGCAAAATTCAAAAAACAACACAAGAAACCCAACAAATTAATAAGCGAGGCTGGCGGTTCATGTTGCTCTGCCTTTCATAGCTATGCTCAGGAATATGTGTTGATGCCAGAAACTGCCATGGCTTTGACCATTGGATTTGGAGCTTCAATCTTGGGACAGGTGATTGGGTCAAGAGCTGAACCTTATAACCGTCTCAGAGCGGTAGCTGAGAAAACAGTTGCAGAAACATCGACTGTTACTGCGGGTTCTGGATACAACCAGGTCTCTAGTCAGGCTTTGCTAAAGGACATTGTCTTTGTCGCTCACTCATAAAGCTTGGACTGTTGGCAAAAACATGACCATTGCTTCCACACGCGTCCTAAATTAACTCACTTGGTTTGGTTTCTGCAAGCAAAATCCAAATTCTGTGTTGCACGTCCACTGATGAGTTCTCTCTGTTTCCTGAGGTTCAAATACCGGAGTTAAATGAATCAGTTCTGTCGTTGGAACTCTCTAAGTTTATTGTGTGAGAATTTGCATCTTCTGTTCTTAGTTAATTGCCTCTAGTAAGTTTTAGGCTCTTCTGTTCTTAGTTTATTGCCTCTAGTAAGTTTTAGGCTATTAGCTTTTACACAACTGTTGCTTTAACACACGGTTCAACGCTATAAGCTTCCAGGGAGGGCGATAGTCAGCCAGATTGAGATGAATGAAATCAACAACTACAGCCTCTTTAAGTAAGTCTTTACGCGCACAACACAATGTTTAAGAACAAATATCTTTCTGAGTAAGCAAAATATGAAATACACTAATACAGAGGCAAGCAATGTCTGTCAACTTCGATTTTGTAAAGCCTGATGACCGCAGAAGTTATCGAGCTTTTTTCCTCTAAACATACGACTCTCAGTCCCATTGGACAATCCCTGGAGATTGAAAAGATAAGAAACATTAGCTTACACTTCAATATAAACCATAAGCTTTTACTCATCTTAACAAATGAAGATTCCAGCATTTTATACGTTACTTCCACCACTAAAAGATGGAGAATCAACGGCTAAACATTAACTAGAAACTAGCTAGTCTCTCATATCGTCAATTCACCTGGTTCTGGACGAGGCTTGTCTTTTAGTAAATCTCATCATCAGGTATCTCAGGAGTCAAGAACTTCATCGGATCTTTACTAATCTCCTCATAATTCACCCTCGGTTTCACCCTATCAGGAACAGGCTCCAGAGGAATGATGCTGTCTCCATCAATAACCCCATCAATCAAACCATACTCAACCGCTTCAATCGGAGACATGTACCGGTCCCTATCAATATCTTTCAGAACCTGCTCAAACGACCGGCTAGTACATCCAGCGATAATGCTGGTGACATTGTTCTTGTTATGCATAACTTCTTTAGCCTGGATCTCAACATCTATAGCTTGACCACTCGCACCTCCAAGAGGCTGATGAATCATTATCCTCGTGTTGGGCATCGCAAAGCGCTTTCCTTTAGTTCCCGCACCGAGGATGATCGAAGCTGTTGATGCAGCAATGCCGAGGGCAATTGTTGAAACATCAGCTCGAACAAGTTGAACCACATCGTATATAGCCATCGTTGCACTAAACAGATAAAAACAGAACATAGAGTTAGATCATCTGAAGCAAAACTATCAACAGAAGTCACAGAAAAGGTTTGAACTTTCGCATCACAAAATTTAATTACTTTGCAATTCCAACTAAAACCCTAATCATCTGACCTAACTTGAGAAGGCAAAGCTTAGAAGTTAAAAGATTGAAACTTTTGCTACTAAAGCAGAAACCCAAATGGAGAATTAACCTGAGGGAGCCACCAGAGGAGTTGATGAAGAGTTTGATGTCTTTCTTGGGATCTTTAGCATCTAAAAGCAGCAACTGACTCATGATGGCGTCGGCGACGAAATCGTCGATACTGCTACCGAGAAAGACGATTCGTTCCCTGAGGAGAAGACCCATGACGTCGGATTCGGCGCCGCGAATAGCTGACTCCTGAGTCTGCGACATCTCGATTGAGGCGTTTGAGAATCTCAGTGGCGACGGGGAAGTTCGTAGGGGATGTGAAATGGGTTTGGTGGGTTTGAAGTGGAGGTTGTTGGGTTTTGGGAAAGAGGAAGAAGGGGTGGAGGAAGATGAGGTGAGTCTTGATGAAACGAGTGAAGGTTTGAGGGAGGATGAGAGAGATAGGGTCACCATGGCTGAAGCGAAGAAGTAAAGAGTTTTGGGAGAGAGATTGGGGGAAAGTGGATTTGGTTAAACTCCTGGAGGAGGAAAGAAAGACACCCGAGTTATTGACCCGGTATACTTCTGGGTCGGGTTATTTTGTATATTGGTTTGTTTAACCCAAAGTGTGGTGTATCGGGTCATAGCTCATTTTGTATGAGAGTAGAATTCCAGCTGTTTGATTACAAACGGTTAGAGCATCTCCAATGTAATACTCTATTTTTTCCTCCAAAATAGAGTAAAAGTAAATATGGAGTAGAAATACTCCATCCCTATTCCATATCTCATTTCATAATGGAGTAATGAACAAACAAAAAATAGATTACTCCATTTATGGAGTAAACTCTATTATGGAGTGAAAAATGGAGTTGGGTTGGAGTGTTTTCTATTTCATACTTCATTTTACTCCATTTTGGAGTAAAAATTGGAGTTGGGTTGGAGATGCCCTTAGGCCTGTTCAATCCGGATTTCGCTTTGGTTTCGATTCAAGTTTTTTTTTCGGTTTTTTGGGATTTCGATTTATAAATATTAGCTACCATATTAGAACCATATCTAATCTGGTTTGATTTGGTTTTTATATTACCGATATTTAGTTTATTCGGTTTTTTATCAAAAACATTATTCTTTGATTTAGTTTCATATTATATGATTTTTAAAGAAGCATGATATCAAATCTATTATTTATTAAAAAAAATTGGGTGTTCATAAATAATAGAATAATGAAGAATAAATTACAAAACAATCAATGATTCAGTTTTTTATAGTTCAACCTGTATTAACTATTCTTCCAATGAAATCATGCAATCATCTAATTTTACAATTTTTTAAACTATACAAAATCAAATCAAATCTAAATAGTATTTGAAGAAAAGTAAAGAATGTTAGTGGGATTTAGATTTCTATATAGTTTGTTGATTTTAAGAGTTGAGAGATTTGTTAAATTTAGAGAGAGTTGCAGAGACTTTTGTATATTGTGAAAATCTATAGTAAAATATTATACTGATTTTAAGAATCCAAGGGATGTATGCAGTATTCTCAAAATCTTGTTATGTGAGTTAAAAATTAAAATGTTAAGAATATAACTCCCAATAACACTTACTTTAATAGATTTGTGGAATCATTAAAATCTAATCTTTTTGAATAACAAGAGATTTTGTATAGAATTACAAGATCATCAAACTAATAACACTAAACTATGAAAATCTAAGAATCAATAAACCAATAACACAAGACTTGAAAATTCTAAAAATTCTTATGAATTCAATTCCCACTAACACCCACAAAACATATAGGAAAAGAAAGTCGAAGTCAGCGAGGATGAACACGAAAACAACCCTGGAGGTGATGGAATAGTAGACAAGGATCAGCACTAGTGCGCCGACGGACATTCAAACATATTGTGACTTATGTTCTATATACTAGATTTGGGGGATTTTTTTTTAATTTTCTTCCCAAAATAAGGATTAGAAAGAGAAACTAGCAATTAGGAGAAGCTCAGTTAATCTTACTCTTCAAAAATCAGTATATCTAATTCTTAATGGTACTCGGTATTACGTAGTATAATCAATATAACTCAGCCGAATTCGATATAATTGACTCTTAGTAATAGTTAGTTTTATGTAGTTGGTTATAACTAAGTATTACTCTTTTTTTTTTTTGACAACGAAGTATTACTCTTATGTAGTATGATCAGTATAAGTATAATTAAATTAGACCCGGTCAGGCAGAGGTGCTCATTGGAAAATCGGCTCGTCTAACCAGAGTTGGACGGTAAAAAAAAGTATAATTAATTCAGTTAAACTAGCCCATATATCGTAAGTCCGTTAAACTAGCTCAAGTTTAATTAAATGTTATGAGGCCCATTAATAAAAAGCCCGCTCGGCCCGAAGTCATCTCCAATCTCATCGCCAACCCTCTCGTCTCCCTATCCCTTCCTTAGCCACATAAAATCAGCCGTCGTCGCCGGAGCTCCGATCTTCTCCATTCGACAATATGTCTCTTTCCGATGATGAAGATGAGTGCTTCGCCCGCTTTCTGGAATCAGAAGTCTCATCGGTAATTTTTTCCTTCATTATTATTATTTTTAAATTTTATTAAGGGCTTAGTTTCTTCATTATTATGTAATAAAATTTGCAAATCTGTTGTTTTTCTCGTGCAATTCACACTTATTCTTGATTTTATTACATCGAAATCTGGGTTTGGCCTGTCTTAATCAAGATCAGATACATCTGGTTATGTTTTTTTCGATTTATGCCATTTTAAAATTGTGATTTACCTCTTTGTTCATGTTTTCATATAAAAGGTTGAATCTTTCATTGATGCCTTTGTGTTCTTAATAGGTAGAGGATGAAGAAAAATCGAAAGAACCTGAACCAAAACGACAACGTGTTGACAAGGAGAAAACAAAGGTTGTAGACAAGGATGAAAATCAAAAGGAAGATGGTAACAACAAAGATAGAAACGGTGCAAAGAGAATAGAGAGTGGAGTTTTCAGCAAAGTTCCTACGGAGCTGTTTCGTCATATCTTCAAGTTCTTATCCTCTGAGGTCTTTGCTCATTTGCATTCTCTCACGCTGTAAAGCTTTGTACTTCTTATATTAATCTAATCTGCTTGAATGTGATTACAGGATCTTCTGTCATGCTCTATAGTGTGTAAATTTCTCAACTTTGCTGCCTCTGATGAATCATTGTGGCGTCGCCTGTAAGTTCTCTTCTCATACTCCTGTTCCTGGATAATCTTCAAAGTCAAAAAGAAGCTATACTCTTATGATTGATTTGATTTGATTTGATATGCAGGTACTGTATCCGGTGGGGCCTAATGCCTTCAACAAGAATGTTACGTGAATGTGCTTGGAAGAAGCTTTATATCGATGTGAGTTTTTTCTGTGTAAATTTGTTTTTGACATTCTTGGTACTGAGTTGGTATTAAAGTTTATCTCTTGTTGAATTGTAGCGTGACGAGAAGGACATGATTGAACTTGTCAGAAGCTGTCCAACGGATTTTAAAGAGTATTACATTCAAATGCAAGCAGCAAAGCGAAGCCAAGCACCTCTTGCCGCCCAGGTACCATGCGCATCTCATAGCTGTTTTATTTTCTTGAAACTACGAATCATCGTCTGATGTATTCACAATTCTCACGTTCTTGTTCGCAATGCTTTAGATGGTGGATGACCAGATAGTTCTTGACAAAACTGTACTTGACAAAGTATCTCTGTGGAAGAAAAGCAAAGGACTTCCCGATAAGGCTGTAGTTGGCCATGTCTGTTTGGGAACAAAATGTGATTACCATCAGATCGACGACGTTTTCATATGCCAAGAAACGGGAAATGTTCATGGTATGAAATGAAGAACGTTGTAAATAATATGAATTTGCTTGTGTTGTTTAAACTTAATCTTTTGTTTTATGGTCTTATAAACAGTATGCGATGACAACTGCAAGGAAGTAATATTTTGTCGGGAGAGTGGGAACATGGTGTGTACTATCTCAGGGCTTTGTTCTGAAAGTTTGCTCGTACAAGATGATTCAGACGCAGATGAGGAAGAAGCTGAACAAGAAGCTGAAGTATTAACAGGAAGAGGCCGTTTTGGTACATATCTCTTTCTCTGCTCCTTTTCCGTTTAAAGTCTTATCTCCAATATATAAGTGAACGGTGTTGTATCTTCTTAGGTCGAGCTTTTGAATTTGGATACAACTGTGAGAGTGAGCAGGAGCTAGATCGCTCCTTTGGGTTCTGCTGATCAAAAGTCTCAGCCTTTTCGAGTCTGCATGTGTTCTTTACGGTAACACATCTGTGGAGTGTAATGAATCAAGATTCAAAAGTAGATCTTGTTTTCTTAGTAGTATTTATGTCTCTTTGTAATTTATGCAGGTCTTTGTCTGTAATTTGCTATACAATTGCCCTTACAAAAATGTTTACATGTAGTAATTAAGTTACATCTTTTTCCAGTATAATATTGGTCATTAGTTGATTGATTCCATTATAATGCGTTAACTAAATTTCTATTATCATTTTAATATATTAATTTTTATATATCTGACATTCGAACATATACAGTAATTTAGTTTTGTGATTATAATTTGACTCTTAAACTTCATCTTTATCTATTTGAAGTTTTGAACCTTTTTTGAACGGCATTACCACTAGGAATATGGAGAACAAGCAGTAAAAGAGAATGCATTACCACTAAAGGAATATGGAGAACAAGAAGTAAGAGAATGAAAAGGAACAAAATAAGAGGAATATCTATTACTTATGTTCCTCTCTTTTGATAAAGAATAAATGTATTCCATATTTTTCTTTGCAAACTATCCCAATGTTGTGAAAGCACCGTATCCTAATGGTTAATGTTTAAAGACTTCTACATGGGTTTGAATCCCAGGCTACGCAGTTTCTACACCAAGAAGGTTTCAATTCCTGGAAAAGGTGAATGGCGAATTATGCAGATTGGAGAAAACAACTTACAAAAGATCTTCGGCATAGCGCAAGGCGTACCGTCAGGAATTGATCTCATAGGACGGCTCAGGGTGATGCAGTCAAATGTGAATCCGCATAAGGTAGGTTTAATTGTCGGCTGTAATATCGTCTACGTAATATTTCTCACAGTTTGTAATGCATAATTATCCAGTGTTAAGAAAAAAATTATCCCAACGCATTTGCTGTCATTGGCCTAGACATTTGGACTTGGTTTGTGTTGGTTTATTGGGTCATATTCTTTCGAGTCTTAGACATTTAAACTTAATTAAACATTTGAATTTTTTTTGTTTGAATTCGGATCGATTTCTTTCAAAATGGATCGGTTCAGATACTTATTAAAATAGTATGATTAGATTGGTTCAAGTATTTAAGATTCGAAAAAATCTAAAAGCCCCGAAATGAATTTAAAGTACCCTAAGTAGTATCTGGAACTTGGAAAAAAAACTGAAAATATTCAAAAATTTACTTGAAACTCAAACCGAGGACCGAATACCCAAACAATTTTTCCAAAAATCTGAAGATCTAACTGAAATCCGAAACTATCCAAAAATCCAAACCCAAAACTTATGAAAATATTTTAATACTGAAAATATACTTGTAATATTCAAATATACATAATAAATTTAAAATATATTGGTTATTACAGGTACCTAACTGAGTCTCATGTAGGACATGCACTTAAACCGAGACATGTATGTCCAAAATAAAAGGACCTAGTAAGTACTTAAACACATACCCGGACACAAACCTTGTATTTTATGATCGATTTCTGTTTGGATTTTTGAATTTATGTAAAATGATCAGACCTATGTTATCATATTTTCTCTCAAAGGATGGAGGAAAAATAAATGAAACTAAAAGAAGATGATAAAATTTGGATATCTGTGAGAACTTCGTAAAGTTCTAGCGGTTACGTCTTTGAGACGATTGTTCGGATGAGCTCTTGAGAGTCCGAACATATCCATACTTTGGAGGTGAAGATGTTGAGCAGAAGGAAGAGCTGCTCGGAGAGCTAGCGTGTTACGGCCCTAAATCCAGAAACTGAACCAGAGGTCCATCCAAGACCCTACTCACCCAACCAAGACGCCAAGCAGAATATATGTGCACTAAAAACGTCATATCTTGTAAACTAGGAGGATTTTAATCACGGAATCAATTTTCCTCGATTCTACACTCAAGACGAAGTCCACCCCAATTGGAAATTTAAGAAAGGACCTAAGGAGGAAGGAGTTATGAATTTTACAAGACATAGGGTTTCCAGTCCATTCGACTGCGAACATCATCCGACTTTAAAAGACATTTCAAGCCCAAAGAAGGAACGGCCCGAGCCAAAACCGATCATAGAAGTCAAGAAGAGTTTATCAGCTTTCCAGAAAGCCAAAGATCATGGGAAGGGGACGAGTAAACCAGGAGATATGATCATTTATTTCAAATTACTCTCTTTCCTTTTATCATTTTATGACTGTTAGAGTCTATCTTGTCGAGCCTATAAGCTCCAGTCTTTGTTTCGTTGTAAACCACCTTTTTTTCCATCTTGAAAGTAATATTCAGTTTTCTAGTTTTCTTAAAACTATTTTCTTAAGTCTTTATAGTTTGTGAGAAGCATCTCCAGAGCACCTTGACTTATCAAGGCTACTGTCAATAGAGTCTTGTGGCGTCTTCAATCCATTCATCCTTCCATCCCATCCGATTTGCTTAGCTTGAGAGTGATACACATCCAGCAAGCTTTGCTCCATCTCGATCTACTTCAATCATCTCTTGATCAAGCTGAGAGTGTCACATGACCAGCAACCTGATTCCATCCTATCCTTTGTTCAATTATCTAATTGTTCTTCATATCATTCGCATCTCATTCCATCTTGCATTTTTTTCAGGTTTATAACCGATTTCCAGCCATATCGACCCTTTGGCAACATCCTTGGTCGATCCGGTGAGAACCTCAGGAACAAATTTGGACGACCCCCATTCTGGGCTGTATCATAGCGCCTTAGCCATAAGTGGCGAAGAAACAAGAGACACAAACCCTAAACCCCAAGTGATTAGCTCCGATTGCGGGAAGTCAAAAACCTAGCTCCCGCGACCAAGCAGCAACAGAGTTCAGCTAGAAGTGAGGTGGATGCAACTCTCTGGTAATATTGTGCACGTTATGTTCAATGAGCAGAGATTTTGTAGATTATCATTCTTTGGCGCTAATGTGAGCTTTGAGAAGAGTATCAGATATAGAGCTTATAATTGGCCGACAATGCCCTCTCTGAAAACTACTAAATTTATCAAAACATATGTAAAACCAAGAAAAAACGTCCATACCAGCATCATTCAGAAATGTAACAAGCACAACAATACTACCGGTTAGTCTTCTTAATCTCTTTCACATATCCTCTAAGATGAGCAAACTGGTCAACATACTCTTTCTCCAGACATTTCAAAGCTGATATTCTTCCTTGTTGGCACTAATTCCTTGACGCATTTAGCTTTGAAATGTTCTTTGCACGTTTTTTTGAATTTTTAAGGCATTAACCTACAAATTTCTCTCAATTTATCCAGAAAAATCTTTCCTATGTACCAAACTTGTAAGGAGCTTACATTTCACATTCAGAGTACAACTATGGTCTATGGACTTGTACCATGTTTTCACTAACCAGCATTGTCTTCGCTTATCATAAGAGCAATAAACCTTTCACTTACATTTTCTTCTGATACCACACTTAAAAACTAAGCGTCGTCTTATCATACCTATCTACATAATGTTTCACGGCTTACTTAGGATGTACTTTAATACAACTTCTTTAAATTCAAATACAGAGTAGAAAGATGTTCCCATAACTAGTGTGTCATTAGATTATTTATAATTCTTCTGACTCTAGCAACAAAGTCGTCTTCTTCTTCATCTAAGCTTTACGGGATTTTCTTCCGACCTCTAAACTCTTTAACACTAAAATTAGTAATTGATTGCACAAACCCATGCTCATATTGATCAACAAGCTTTTCTTCTTCTTCTTCACCATTTTCGTCGTACTTATTGACGTTGTCATATCAAACTCGATAATAAAACCACCAAAGTCAAATATATAACCAAACGATTCTGCAATTGCCATACGTCCTTTAAATCATACACAGACCGATAATCATCTAACAGTTGACATACATAATATTGAGATCCTTTTCAATTTACCGTGAAGTGTTTTTTTCGTGTCACAATTAACATGGGTAACCATAAGTAATTGCAATAACATGTAACCCTAAATACAGTGCCATATATATACTTTTAATTCTTTTTGTATTTTTTTATGGGTTGCTGTGTCGGGTTGGTTTCTCATGTTATAATTAGAGTAAACATAATTAACCTAATTAACTAAATGCACTTTTTATTTGTAAATCGCAATTAAGAAACTATTAAAATTTTGTGGAATTTAGTAGGATAAAAAAAGTTTGGTGGGGACAATTGATTAGTCGGGTATCTATAGGAATTGTTCTAAAAGCTTGAATGGTTTTAATGTGGGATTAGTTAGTTGAGACTTAAGAGGGTGTACTAGGGCTGTTCAATATGGTAATACTGAACCGTACCAAACCGAACCGAAGCGAAATAGAGAATATGGTTTGGATTTGGTATATACCATATAAACCGAATGGATATGATTTTATAAAAACCATAGGATTTGGATATGGTTAGGTTTATAACCGATTAAACCGAAAAAACCAAATAAAACCGATTAAAAAAAAATATATAAATATATACGTTATATAACCATTTATTTTCTTGGAATAGTCTTTCTTTTTATAAATTTTTTCATTCCTTGTGAAGATATATCTTAATAATTTTTTTTTTATTTTCTTCAATTATTATCTAGATTTGATTTGATTTTGCATGTTGTAAGAAATTGTGAAATTAGATTGTACCATGTAATTTATTTGGAAGAACAAAAAGAAAAACTGTACAAAACTAAATCATTGGTCGTTTTGTTTGTTGTTAATTTCACATTTTTATATTTTTGAACACCTAGTAATATTTTAATAAATGATAGTTTTGAGAATATTTTTTTTTAAAATTCATATAATATGAAACCAAATCAAATAATAATGTTATTTGGTATAAAACCGAATAAACCGAAAACCGGTAGTATAAATACCGAACCAAACCAAATTAAATATGGTTCCAATATGGTAGCTAATTTTTATAAACCGAATAACCGAAAACCGAAAAAAACCGAACCGAAATCAGACTGAACACCAGATTGAACAGGCCTAGGGTGTACAGACGTCAACCCATATTACTACTAATATCATAATCCTTCGGTTGTTTAATAAGTGTCATTTTGACACTTTTTCACGAAAATTAAAAAAAAAATATTATAGACAAATATATCTCTGTTTAAAGTATGATTAATTAAATGAGAAGAATTTAAACAAATATGAAAACTTTAACAAATTTCCAACAGGTAAAATAAATATTTTTTTTTATAAATAATTATGTTTTGCAAAAAAATCTACTACATTTTTTAGAAT